TCCGCCACTGGGAAAACAGACTCCGCGGATCCCAAAAGGAAGTGTTTGCCTGGCTCAAAAGAGTGAAGTCCCCCCCCTACTCATACGATTTTCAATGATGAAGGTGAGTTAGGGTTAGGGGAGCCGGCCGCGGTCTCCACTCAAGACGCCCTCGAAAAAATCAAATCCTTTTGGTCCACTGTTTGGGACCGAGAACGCAGTCAAAATGAAATGCTGCCTGAAGATTATTTTCAGCTTTGGGACATCCCGGCAAGAAACCCTGAATGCTGGGCGCCGGTTGACACTGAAAGTATCAAAAGCGCCCGCCGCCAGAAGCATAAATCAGGCGGGACAGACGGGTGGACCGGAACTGAAGTTTCCCTTTTCCCTTCTTGCATGTGGCGCGATATTGCGGTCTTGTTCGGATGGTTTGAGGTCCTCGGTCATTTCCCCAGATCTGGGGAGAGGTTCGTCAGGCCCATCTCATGAAATCTCACGCCCCGCGGTCTAGTGATGGGGCCGTGCCCGCTAGCAAAATGCGACCCATTGCTGTCATGTCGGTCTGGTATCGTATGTACACCGGGGCCCTTCTCCGAACTTCTCAAGCCCAGGACTGGATTAATTCCGTTTTGGATCCTGTCCAGCACGGATGCCGTCAGAAATATGACTGTCTCCAAGCTGTAGTTCCCCTCGCTTCGGCTCAAGCTCAGGGACATTTCATTTGGTCATTAGATCTCTCTCAAGCGTTTGACAGGTTGAGGCCTGAAGTGGCGCTGAGGAGTCTGACTCATTTCGGGTTCCCCCCTCTCCTTGCCAACGCCTTCCAAAAGATTTGGAGCTCTCAGCGCCGCGTGCTGCAATGGCAAGGCGAGAGTTTTCCGGTTCCCTGCCATGTGGCAAGTAGCGTTCCGCAGGGTGATCCGTTGAGCCCCTGGGCTATGAACGTGGTTTTACGAACACCGACAGCGGTCATTCGCCGTCTCCATCCTACTGGTGTACTTTCAGTCTTTATGGATGATCGAAGCTTTTCTGCTGAGTCCCTTGAGACTGGAAAGAGCATTTGGGAAGCTTGGAAGAACCATTCTGCATGCCTTGGCCTCAGAGAAAATTTGGCTAAAACACAAATCTTCTCACGCACACAAGACGGCCAGTTTCAGATCCGCAGTGACCCTGAGACGGCTCCGTGGGCGAAGGACGCCCTGGTGGCATTAGGTGTTTCTTTCACCCCTCTGGGGTGCAAACCCACTAAAAAAGACAGCGACCGGTTCTCCAACGCTTTGAAGACTGCCGCAAAACTCAAAGTTGCTCCTGTGTTGGCCAAAGAACGTCTCCTCCTTGCTGCATCCGCTGTGACCGCAAAGGCTACGTACGGATGGGCACTGCGAGCTCCTCCCCTGCGCAGTTGCACACAACTTGACAGTCGACTTCGAGCAGCTGGTTTCGGTCATAGGTCCGCGTCGGTGCCTCTGACCCACTTGCTCTTGGGTCACACGACCAGTTCAATGTTCATGGCTGGCTATTTGGCGAGTCTCGCCCTATACCGCAGTCAACGTCTTGAAATGAAGGTCGCCACAGACTGGGGCCTTGCGGGTGGTTTCGTCCAACGAGTACGAAAATTTCTGGCCTCCTTAGGCTGGTCGAGCCCCAGGCCATGGCTGTGGAAGCACATCCCACTCAACCTACGTTTTTCTCTTGCACCACGACACTCAGAATTTCCAAACAGCAAAAACCACTTCGGACATCTCCTCCGGGAGAGCTGGAGATATTCTATGTGGAACTGTTTCTTACAACAGGATCGAAAGGACTCTGCGGCGTTGCGGAATGTTCCCTATGACTCTGGTCGTATCAAAGCTGCGGCTGCTGCGGCGCACCGAGGCAATGCTCACGAAGTGAACATTTTGTGTGGTGGCTTCATTAGCCCTATGCGGTTTCACCAAACTGCTCGGTCAGAAACCAAACCGAGTGGTTGCTGCCCATTTTGTAATTTCTTTCCAGGGGATCGGAAACATCTCTTTTGGGATTGTCCTGTGAGGAACCCCAACCGAACGGAACCTTCGGATCTTACTGAAGCCGTGTTGGGCTGGCCGCCTGTTGGCGGCCATTCTGACACTTTGTCCCGCCTGGGGCGGGTACGCAAGGAGATGCTCGATCACCGTTATGGTGGTGCCGCGGGGGGGGGGCGGGTATCTAAGGATTTATGCTGCTGCGCGTGGCGGTGTACCCGCGCTGACTGCTGCCTTGCGTTAGCGCTGTGGTCGTCCGTCATCGTCTACTTTCATCATCATCAAGCAACGAAGGTGACTGTGGATGATTTCATTGAAAGCCACACAAGAAAAAGAGGAGACACCGCCAGAAGCTCCAACCACACAGCAGGACATGTGAAACAGAGGCAGTGTCCAAGAAGATCAAAGAGAAGACCAAGGAAGCTTCTAGTGATTCTAGCGGTGGCTCATATAGCTTCTGCCTGAGCTCAACATTTTTGCTCTTCAGGGTCTCCATCCCTCCCATCATCTCTGCCCTGGTCACCATTGGCCTCGATGGCCTCTTCTGCAAGCCTTTTGGCAGTGGTCAGGGATGTACTGTCAGCGCCGAAAGTTGCATCAACTTCCTCCAGGTATGTTCTCCCCCATAGAACTCCGCGCATCAACTCTCAAAAAAGTCACCTCAACAATTTGCGCCACTGTAACTGCGATGATTTTGTTAACTTTTTGTTCTTGGGATGCGTTTTAGTCACCTCAACTGTGTCAGTTACATGCAGTCTAGCATGTTTCGGACATGTACAGAAAGACATGTGTTTCAAGTCTATGAGAAGGTTCCCCCATGTAACTGCGATGATTCTAGGTGGAACATCAAGAGGATGATGCATGTTGTTTGCCAAAAAATGCTTTCCAGGATCTGGTAACAAAAGGTTATATCCAGAATGTGTCCTGAACAAATCACGGTCAAACCCCACCAGCTCTGCTTGTTTCTTTTCCTACACAACAGAGCTACTTCTTCGCAACTCCAAGTTTCTTGCTTGCAATCTGTGGCTTTGCCACAAATCTTTTGGACCTGTTTTCGGCCCATGCATTGATGAACATGTGTCTTCCTTGGGAAGATTTCAAAATGCCTTTCTTCTCAATGCGGACTGTCAACAGGTGGCACAACGGCTGTGTTTTCTTCACATCCTTTTTGGTTTCATCTATGAAAAACTTCAGTACTGGACGTAGTTTACCTCTCTTCTCTTTGGGCCAATGGTGCTCTAGCCAGGATAGCGCGTCCTCGGCACAGTTCCTCAGAGTGTTTGTATGATTGAATTTGCTTTCTGCAGGTTTGGCAGAATGGCAGTGAGGAAAAAAGCCACAATCTCTGATGTGCGTTTCGGCATGGCACATACAGCAGCACTGATGCTCGAGAAAGAATCTCACTGCAGCCATTAGCAGCAGCAATCACACAACTCTCCAGAATCAGTTGTTTACACGTGTGTCTCCAGAGAACACCGCAGCGACTTCAACAAACCACAGTAGTGTTTTCCTTTTTTGTGTGGCCTTCTTCATGGTTTACATTGTTTGTGTCTTTTTCTCTTATGTATGTTCACATTCCATTACCTTACATTTAGTCAGGAGCTTGTTACATTGTTCCTGGAAATTTAGGAGACCAAGTCCCAACTGCCTGTCGCACAAGATTTTGAGTGGCATAAATTTGAATCCCCATGTAACTGCGGCTTTAGTGAAAACAAATGGAACCACAGAACCACTAAAAAACAGTTGACCTGAACAGTTGTCCTGCAGCTATTTCTAGAATTTCCACTTTCAGATCATAGGTCTGAAGCAAAAACTAGTGTCTCTCCCCCAAGTAACTGCGAATCGCTGCGACTTGCTGGGACATTACCGCCAAGCTAAATCTGTTGAGTTTTACAAATCGAGGCGACTTCCAGCATTGAGAGTAGCTGGGCCGCTTAGAGACAAGCAGCGTTCGCCCCACTGAGCACGCCAACGCACTGAGGCCGAGACGCCAGTTGCTTGAAAGGTTCGTTCTCGGTCAGCAGGAGTGATGGCGCCATGGCCTTTCTTCAGGTGTATTGGTCCCCTATGGGGCACATCACCCTGCTTCCTCTTCCAAGAGGCATTGTTGCCATCCGTCACTCACTCACTCAATGACTCACTCACTCTCACTCTCACTCTCACTCTCACTCTCACTCTCACTCTCACTCTCTCTCTCTCTCCCCTCCCTCCCTCCCTCCCTCCCTCCCTCCCTCACTCCCTCACTCACTCACTCACTCACTCACTCACTCACTCACTCACTCACTC